AGATTGTACCGACGGCCAAGGGCATACCCACTCGATAAGCTCATGGCAGCCATCGACGACCACCTCAAGGACCGCGAGAACCGCATGGTCATGATGGAATACATCATGCTGCGCGGCGTCAACGACGCGCTCGAGACCGCGCACGACCTCGGTCGGCTGCTTGCCGGTCGGTCGGTGGTACGCACTTGGCACGCTGCGCCATCAGTTTGATGGACATGATGGGTAGCACGTCAACTTGATCCCGTACAATGCGACCGATGTCGACGCCGAGTATCAGTCGCCGACGAAGGAAGAGATCATGGCCTTCCACGGCATCCTCCGCACGGAGTACAACATCAAGGTCACGGTGCGTGAGAACCATGGCATGGACATTGACGGCGCGTGCGGCCAGCTCGCAGTCAAGAAGCTCGACGACGCGCTCCCCAAGACCAACAAGGTAGGCGATTCTCTTGCGGTGGCCTCCGACGATGTATCCATGCGTGTAGAAGCCGGTCCAGCGCGATATCGAAGACCTCGGTGCCACGTCCCGCTCGCCCAAGAGCGGCGCGGGCAAGAAGGCGTCGACGCGGGGCATTCCAACGCCGCCGGCCACCAACGGCGTCCCGACGTCGCTCCTTGTGGCCGGCGCCGCCTTGGTGCTGCTGCCAGCGATCGCGTACGTGCTGCGCAAGCGGCTGTAAATGCACCTTGAATACTACACTATCATGCGCATGGATATCGACCTGTCTGCGTGGCGTGTTGATGCGCAAAGATACCCAACTTGAAACCAACACGGAAAGGCCAGCCTTAAAATCGCATCAGTGATTGGCTAAAATACCGTCGTGTCAACAGCTCGCGCGTGAGGCCATTGGCTGAAATGCAGTTCGTATTGTGGTTGCCCGCCATCACCCAGGTAAGGCGCGACGACGATGAGCAGCGAGCGCCAACACTTACTCTCGTCGCCCGCCATGCACAAGTACCATCTTGCGCCGCCGCTATGGTTCGCCTTCAGCCTCATCGGTGGCATGATCTACGGCTACAACGTCAGGTAGACGCGCCACATCCTCTGCCAACGCTCCAGCCGCTCACGCACCGCCATGGAATAGCATTGCGCCGTCGCTGCCCTACATCACCGACAGCCTCGTACGCACCATGCTACATCGACGGGCAGCTCATATGCGCTCTCTTATAGAACCTCTCGACGTCGCATCAAGAGATGGCGAGTGCATCCGCGACGCTGAGTGACGCGGCCGCCATGCTGATCGGCGGGCGGCTCGCCGACAGCTTTGGCCGGCGCAAGGTCGCCCTGCTCGCGTGCGCCATGACGATGCTTGGCGCCGTCGGGTCGGTTGCGTGGCACAGTCACTTTGGCGCGTTCCTCTTTTGGCGGCTGTGCACCGGCGTTGGCAACGGGCTCTCGATCCTGATTTTGCCCATGTACATTGCCGAGGGCACGGACACGGCGACGCGTGGCATGGCCGTTGCCTTTTATCAACTCGGGTACACGCTGCTGACTTTTCTTGTATCGTCGTCTCGACTCGTCTCGCTAGCGTGCTCTCGGGCACCGTCCTGCCGTACGCTGTGATTTTGCTCTCGGAGAGCTGGCTCCTCACGATGCTGCTGGGCTGTCTGCCTGCGGCCTGCATTGCGACGAGCTTTCTCACAGGTCTCTTCAAGGAGAGCCAGGCGTGGCGCGGCTACAAGAACGACGTCGCCGCGACGACCGCGCTCGAGGCGCGATTGGACGCGGACGATGCGACGCCGCTGACGCCGGATGCTGGGAGCCCGCATTCGGTGCGGGAGCTCTGGATTGGTATCCTCCTCGCGTACTCCAACAACTCGATCGACGCGTCGCTTTTTTACGGGCCGCAGATTGTGTCGAAGTCGTCAGCGTCGTTCTCGCGCCATGACTCGAACGTCGTGGGCATGGGCTTTTGCCTCCTCTCGGTGCTGGCAGTCGTTGTCGCCATGGTGTTCCTCGTCACCAAGTACTCGCGGCGCCAGATCTACCTCGTGACCCACACGGTCGTCGTCGTCGCCTTCCTCGCGTGCTTTGTGCTCTTTAAATTTGTGCCCGCGATCGACACGCCGCACTCGGCGGCTTCGAACGTGCTCATTCTGGCGCTTGCGACGCTCGTCGTCTTTCAAACGTGCGGCCCGGGCCTCCTCTTTGTTCTGATTGTGTCCGAGATGTTTGGCCACGGCGCGGTCCGCGCGCGCTACATGAGCTACTGCACGTTTGCCATGTCGGCGTTCTCGCTGCTCATCAACGGCACCATGCTCTCGCTCTTTGAGGGCATTGGTGTCGGCGCGACCTTTGGCGGCTACGGCTTGACGTACGCGATCTGCTTGGTCGTCTTTTACAAGTGGCTGCCCGAGACAAAGACTCGTGGCATCATGGAGCACCCGTAAGAAAGCACGGCGACTCGGTACGCGTGCTTGTCCCGATATTGTGTTTGTGGTTTTGAATTTTGGTGGTTGTTGGACGGTTGGATAGTGGGATAGTTGGATGGTTGGATAGTCGGATGGAGGTCGTCGAGAGGCTCGAGGATCTAGCACCGCCTAGTGCAGTTGGAATGACACGCCGCCCGGGGGCGCGCCAGGCGGCACTTTGCCGCAGACAGTGCACAGCGTCCCGTTCTTGGTCATCGCCACGTTGTCCCAGCCGTCGGCGATGCGCCGCGGGCACGCCGCGCACTTGCCGGTGAGCATGCTGCCTTTGGGAATGTCGGACGCGAGCATCGGCGTCGCGTTGAAGCCGTTGGTCGCGTACCAGCTCCGCCCGCCGCCGCCGCCGCGCGGGTCCGACCGGTTCTCGCGCTGCTTCAGGCACTCCATGTGCGGGCACGTGCGCCAGTCCGGGTGTCTGTGGCCCTGCGTCTTGTGGTAGCCGCACGTCGTGTACCTACGTTGCAGCAAAAGGGTGGCACGTCGGCGAGACGAGCGGCGTGACGTACTTTCCGTGGGACCGCCAGCAGTGCTTGCGGCTGTAGCTGCCCATGAGGTACTCGTGCTCATTGTCGCAGACGACGAGGCCGCAGCACTCGGTGACGCCCAAGTGCACCTCGCTCTCGCCGGCGCCGCAGACAAAGCACGTGTCGACCGTTGAGTTGACGACCGGGAACACGTCGAATGGAAACTTCTCGAGCTCCTCGTCTTCGTCGTACGGGATGCCCGAGACGCCGATGCTCGCAATGTGCTTGCAGTCGATCTTGTGGCGGGCCCAGTCTTGGCGCTGGTGGTCGCGGCCGCAGTAGAAGACGCAGCGACACTTGCCGCACGGCTTGACGTCGGCGCCGTCGAGGTCGCAGTCGACCACTTCGCAGCGCCGGGGCACAAACATTTGCTTGAGACGCAGCTCGAGGCGCGCCGCCGACGCCGGCTTGCGGCGCGTGGACCGGGGCATCGGGTTGCCAAACATGTCGAGGCGCTCGTTGACGTTGCCGTCGTCGTCATACGTGTCTTCGTCATCGGACGCATTGTCGTCGTCGTCGCTAATGTGGGTGTCGCCGTTCCGCTTCTTGTCGTTGAGCCTGTTGAGCTTGTCGACGGAGCGTTGCGCTTGGTTGACATGGCTTGCAGCATGTTCATGTCTGGGAACCCGTTCGGGGCGTTGGGCGGTGCGCGGTTCGGGGGCGCTCGGCCGGCCATGCTGGGTCGTTGGGTTGCCGATGGAACTGGTACGGCGCCGCTTCACGGCCCCAACCTTTTGATATCTTTCGACGGTCGCAATCCAGCGGCGGCGGGTGATATCCGGATATAAATCCCATTGGTTATATATCGATCTATTTTGACAAATGAAACTGCGTTTCATTGGTGCCAGCCAATCGCATCGCGCGAAGTATGTCCTGTCAAATGCGATTTTGTAGTCCCTGTTATGTGTTGGACATTATACTTAATTTTGTGCACATTGAGTGCAAGGTACGTACTTATCGGGGTATATTGCTCCGCTTGCAGCCGCACATAATAGAGCCTCTCAGCGGGCGTTGAATATCCGGACAGCCAAAGCGCGCGGTCATGGCAAGGACGCCTTCTCGTACCATGAGGCCTCATGGGAAGCAGGTGAAGCCACGAACGGTGTAGAAGGCGGAGCTCTTCCGCCTCGTACGGACCTCATCGACGGAGGCCAACTCGACTCATGACGAAGGCGTCAAAGATGCTCTGGAAGAGCTAGGTGACCGAGATGCGATGCCACATTAAAGACTGCAGTAAGCGCTGTCGACGCATACCGTTAGACAGCGCTTCGCATTCTAAAGTTGCTACCAGCTCACCCCGTACGGGACCTGTTCAACACAGACAGCAAGAAAATGGGTGTTTTTGGGGAAAAAATCCAAACAATGTTTCCACGAACCGTCGTAGCGCTTGCAATCTAGATGACACGTCGCTGCGTCACCGAGGTTGATGCATCATGAATACGTGCAGGGCCATCGTGGTGCGGCGTTGCGATAGTTAAACTGCAACATACTATTCGAGTTTTGACGACGTGACATGAGATGAAAAGCGGTCACATTGGCAATCTTTCAACGTCATCGACGTTGAAGCATCATGAATACATGCATGGAATTGCTTCTTCAGCTCGCGAAATCTGGAGTCAGAGCCGCACTATCTAGTGTGCTATCGACCCTGACGACGACTCGGTATTATGCTGCTGTACGACTCGGCTCTAGTACGCTAGGGCAGAATGCCTTGAGTTGGCAGATCCGTTTCAACTGTTTTCTCCATAAAGCAAGACGAGAAATCCATGGCAACCAGAGTCCGCCCAAGCGACGCGATCGCAAGTGGGCTGCTCCCACGAGCGTGGGATCTCACTGACGCTACCGCAACATCATCTCGCAGGGACCTCGGTGGCATTGGCTACGTCCTTGCTGCAGTTGGTCTCGGCTGCTACGCACTCGCGGCCATGTCTCCGTATCTTGCCAACGACTTCTTTTGGGTTGACTTTGCCTCGACGTCGACGGTGCTAAGCAACACACTCAACCTGCAGCTATCGCTCACGTCTGCGTCGCCGCTCGACCTTTTGGCGACGTCGTCTCGTCTCTCGACGCACGACAGTGTCGGCGTCAGCTACGCCTACCCGCGCCTCCTCATGTACCAAGAGCTCACGACGCTCGAGAGTGCGGTCGCCGGCTTACGCCACCTCGACACGGTCAATGTTGTCTACATGCTCGCGCAATACTGCTATGTCGACTGGGACCGGCGCTGGGCCATGGCATCAACGCTTGCTCGACAAGTTCGGTGCCGGGATCGGTACGCATCGAATGGCGCCGTCTACCTCGAGTCGGTGCTGCGCAACATTGAGTTTCAAGCGTGGAATGCGTCCACCCAAGGCTTGTTCATGCAACGGATCGGGAACGGCATCGCCGAGTTCGCGGACGGCCCCGCCTTTCTCGCGTACGTGGCGTCGCACCAGATGCTGGATGTGCACGACGAAGTCCGAGTCTGGTCGAACGCAGGCCTTTCGTCTTTTGTGCTGCAGTACGCCAACCAGTACCAAATTGGTCTGCAAGAAGACATTCAG